CTGGATTCCTCAGTGAATCCATTCCAACCAGGACACTGGTGTGTATCAAACCCTGGACATCTGAAACACTGCAAGAGAAGTGTAAAGGACCCTTCCAAGTTTCCACCTATAATGGAGTGAAACTGGAAGAAAAAGGATCCTGGATTAATTATTCTCAGATTAGGAAGGCATGGAAAGTTGAATCAACTACCTCACTATTGAAAGTTAAGATAATTAAGCAAGCATAATGTAAAAAGTAACATTGCTGGCGGGAATTAGCTGTGTAGGCTGTGAAGGATGGAAATGTAAAGTACATTTACAAATAGTAGGGAAACTAGCTAATGTACTAATTCCTAACCGTTGCTGAATATGTACCCAGTTACCAAGAAACACGCAAACAGGCTATCCATTAGCAGGAGCATTATTACACCATACCAAAATAGGTAGAATTGGCAACAGCAGCAGTCCAGTATGTGTTGATATGGAATACAAAAATGAATCCAACACTAAAAATGCACAATTCCCATTCCTAATGGTCTTCTGTGGAGAGAACAGAAAAAATAGCACATGGTTTAGAGCAAACCAAAAAATCAGGTCCAAATGTAGGAAAAAAATGAATCATTCTATACATTCATCTTGCATTTTCACACAAGACTTAACTGAACAAGACACTAAAATGTGAGGAAGGACACTTACAGTCACCTTTGGTTCTGGTGGTCCAACTGTATGCTTCATTACAGGAGCCAATTAATAGCTGGTTTTAGGGGCCCTACAGGAAAGTCTTTGTTATATGAGGAAAATAAAGGTATGTTTGCTGGTAGACTAATGTCCCTCAATCAGGGTCAATTTTCCTGTGCACATGGGGAAATATTCCCAGCAATGCAAATTCAGGACAACAGTGCAATGGCTGGGATTTACCTAGAAACTGCTTCTGATAGTTATTTTTATATGCTGCAATTATTGTTCTGACTATTGCTGGAGATATAATAGATTGATATAAGCGAAGGTTTTTGTGCGTTATTTACAGACCCTCAAAGGAAAAGGAGGGATTGATGCAAGTTGTGATGATATTGTTAAGCTGGCTAGTGTTCACTGATGGATAGCCCTGCAATTTGTTTAGATAACAGAAAGAGCTGTGTCTCTGGACCAAGGAGGATTTGAAGTTTTGCTGAGCCTTTGTGCCTAACAAACAGAAGTCCTGCTTGGAATCAGTTACTGAGTATGTAACATCCCCCTGGGAAATTTCCACATATATAGCATACCTCTGGGAAAAGTTCTGCCTATGTAACACAAGTAATGCATACAAGCTGAAGATCTTTTTTGTAAGATCCATCCAGTGCTGATAATAAAATATTCCTGCTCTCTAACTTGAGTTTTAAGAGAGTTTTCTGATTGACTGATCTACAATATCAATCTAAGATCGTATTAAAATGGCGGTAAAGATCGTTTTGTAACAGAGATGGATTAGGCCTTAAATTATCATGGGATCTCCCCATGGAAAAAGAAACATTGAAAATGTGCAAAGTCTGAACCACGCAGGCCCGTAGGGGGAATTCATAGCAATGCTTTCAAAGATGTAGCTCATTTCATGACTTTGTGTTAATGCATGCTGAGATGCTTTGAAAGTGACCATTGAAAAAACCTGTCAATAATAGGTTTCTTATTTAACCCTCACTTGGAAAACTGATTCATTTTCATGAGTTTGACTTCACACAGTCACATATCCATGGAACTATTCTTTTCAAAAATGTCTTGCTTAAGAATTTGACAGATTATACCTGCATGCTCACTATAACCTTCATTTTTTGTAAATTCTGCTTGTGAATGGTATTTTTTCCTTCTCAGCTCAGCAAGTTTATCAGGAATAATCTGAGTGGCAGTTTTTCAGAGTCTCCTATCTACTCTGAGCTGCCTCTGGACTGCTTGCACATGCACAGCAATTTGTCAGTAAACGCCTTGACTCCTCTACTGAATGTAGTCAAGCATTCACTTAAGAAAAGTCTCTATCAAAGTACTCTATCCAGCTAGTTTATAACAGCACAGTGCTGCAATACTGCACTAGATGTATTTGAGGGGCTTGCTGCCAAACTTACGCACCTGTCAATAGCATAATTTACTCTGATATTAATCAGGACTCCTGACATTGAAAACTTCTATGGTTTCAGTGTTGGCTTCAAGTGTTGATGTGGCTGGCATTGGTATGTAATATGAACAAAGCAATGGTGTGAAAAGAAACTCAGCAGAGTGAGTGGTTTAGGTTTCCAAATGTCCACCAAAACAGCATCTTGCAGGAGTATGCACTTCTTGAGTTTGGCCCAGAAGGATGCATTTGAAGAGACTTCTTGTGATGTGTTTCTACAGTTTGTTCTTGTTGACCCATATGTATGAAACAGAGTCAGTGAGTCTCATTCTCATCTTTGATGCCAGCTGTCCCATTACTTAACAGTACTGGCAACAACAAATTACTCCAGACTACGTTGGCTTAAGAGGGAAAAGATTTCATTCTAACCTAATGATTCTGGTGTAATCAGAAACAAACATTTGTGTCAACATTTAGACAACGATTTCTTCTATCCATACACTTCCTACTTTTTTCAAACTTCATTTCATAGACAACTAGGAATATAACACAAGAATACAGATTGCTAGATAACACTGCTGTAGTCTGCCTATCCACACCTTTAGGAAAAAAATTCTAACTTAACAGATATCCTACAAACTTTTCCTTGACACAATCTGCCCTCTGCTTTTTCTCTTAAAATGCATTCATTTTTTCTAACAAAAACTGCTGCACACATTGTGGATGAACAAAATGTGCCAATCTAGCTTCCCTCTACATACTGCCAGATCATGGGCTCATATAATTTCTTTTTTCTTCTCACTGAGGTATGATAGAAAAGAACAAACTATTCTTAAAGTAGTAAATAGAAGGGAATTCAAGAGAGAGAAATTTCCTACAATAACCCTTTGCTAATAACTAATTTCTTTTGCCATATACAAAGCACCCCATTTGCGTATGTAAGTAGTCCATTTTTTTTTTTGTTCTTCGCTTACGCTGTGATCACCACTTAATTCAAGAAAATAAATTCAAATTCAAGTGTAAGTCACACAAAACTAGCTGTAAAACTGTGTCATATTCACAAAAGAATTGTTTTGACAGTTATTCAGAAAGTGTGGCTGTAAATGTACCTTTTGTAGGCATGCTTCTGCACCAATAAAATCTTCTGCACCTATAAAATGAGAGTCTGGTTTGGCTGGTTTACTCCATCTGAGAATCTGTCCCTAAACATTGTTTTTCATACATCTCAGAAGGCTCAAATTCATTATGAATAGACATCCCCTACAAATAGAATGGCATGTCAAGGCTGGACGTAGTTGCATTCTAGCTGGACATGGGAGATATTATATTGCACTCAGATGTTCACTTCTGCAGCAGCATGGTCCATCTATGATGAAAATGCTCATGCTCTGACATTGCACTGAATCTATTTTCAAATTTAGGAGCATATCATCAATACAAGAATCTCAAGGCTACTGGTAACCAACAATTATAGTGACTATTGACTTAAGGCCTCTAAAAATACCCTTTCAAAAACACAGAGGGGGTAGCTTCATTGGTAATATGGAAAAAGATTGTTAAGATACTTAAGAAAGGTTATGCACCATTTGTATAGCTTCTAGGAGAGATTTGGGAAAATTCCACATAGCTTGCCATGTTATTTTTGAATATGATGATTTTCAAATGATGGAAATAGGAATTATTCCTATTATAAATAGGAATTTATTATTTACTATTATAAATTTCTGTGCAACTATCTGGGAAGATAGGCTTATATAATTTCTTTCTTCTTCTGTCCTCATTGAGGTATGATAGAAAAGAGCCAATTATACTTGAAGTAGCAAACAGAAGGGAGTTCAAGACAGAGAAATTTCCTACAATAACTCTTCGCTGAAAACTTCCACGAATTCCATACAATTTATACATTACATCCTGCAGTTCTATTTTAGTTCTTAAAGACAAAAAGATTAAACTGAAATTAAAAATGCTGCCATTAAGTATTTACTGTTCTATGCGTATATGTACTTAAGAGCACTTAAGTGTCTAGAGACAGGACGCATCTAGAAATACATTATAAGTATATAATTATTTAGATATACACACACGTCCCGTGTCTATGTTTATATTGAAAGTGTACACTTCTGTATTGGAGGTAGGTCTAAACTTAAATAGCATACAAAATGCTAATTGGGTGGCACTCAATTTCCTCATGATCTCATGTATTTTGCATTTGGGATCAATTTCTGATTTATCCTGTGTTTCTTCCAGATGGAAATTTACTGTAGGTTTTCATTTAATCAGCAAGTTCATGTTAGGATAATCTGCAGAATCTTTTGTGAAACAGAGGAGCTCCAGGGACAGACAGTTTGCTTGCATGGAAATGCCTGTGGAATGAACACCAGCATAATCAAAATCGCGAGGACCTTATGAGACAGAACCCATGTGTACAAGTGTACAAGAGGAGGTGCAGGCAGATATTCAGATGGAGCAAACTACTCAAATCTCTGATGAAGCATTCATCTGATGTTTTGGCACATGATATATAAACAGCTCTCAATTACAGTTTATTATCTTAGGTAATCAATATTAATTTGTAAATAATAAACAATTGATTAGATAATTATCACAGAAATTCTACGTTTTTCAAATACTTGTTTTCCTTTGCACTCCAAGTTGTATTTTGTTTTGATCAGCAACAAAGGAGTCACACAGCCGTGTAAAATCTGCACAGAGTAGAGGAGAAGCAGAATACATATTCTATATGTTGAATCTAGTACAAATATTTTCATCCATATATATATCTATATTATTTTTCAATGAACAGCATATATATTTTACCTGGGAAATTATTCCATACTTTACCTGGGAAATTATTCCAATGTGCAAAATGAAGCAGTTTTTCTTGGGCTTTAGATCTTCTCCTTTGATCCTGCTCATATTCTTGGTAAAAAGTGGGTCGCTGTCATAGCAGGAGAAACTTCTTTCCCTTCTTCACTCTGCCATGTTTGCTGAGTGCTATATAAGCACCATGGTAAGCATTTGATTCATATGCATTGTAGTTGTTGGGCAGCAAGGTTTCTTTGAATTTGCACTCATCATGGAAAGCAGCCTATAGAATAGGAAGAGAGAGAGAAAAAAAAAAAAAAGCAGGTATAATTAATATTTCAGAAAGACTCAAATCACTTATCTTGCTAATGTTTTTACAGATAATGAGTTCATTATAAAGTGCAACTGGTGGTGCCATAGTGTCTATATCTAACAATAAATCTCCCCACTCTGTGCTTAATTTTTTGTTAAAAGAACTCGGATGTCACCTGTCTGGATAATGGACTGTGTTATCATGTCCTTTTATCCAATTGCTTTATTTCACACCTCCCCTCTGCAAGAGGCACTGTGATTTATTAAATGAGACACTACCAGTGCTGTTCTACTTGAACATCTTTGTAATAAAATGATTCAGAGCTTATTCGAGCTTAGCTTAGGACATCATGTGAATGCACACCTATTACAGCTTTTAAAAATATGTTTGAAAACAATTGAGACCGAGTAGAAACTAGAATATACAGATAGATAAGTGGGTGGATAGATAGATAGACAAATATCAAAAGAAGCTCTGGATCCAGACCATGAACTTTTTTAGAAAGTCTCATTTAGCACAGCTATTGGTCTTCTGGAACTTTTATGTGCTTGAAATCAAAATTGAGCAAAATAATATTCTCAGATTGAAAACTTAAAATATCACATTGTTTCTATTTCTGTGAGAAGGAATAAATAATAGTTACCAATCATTCATTATTTGGTATTTTATTCAGCAGTGAAATGGTTTGTATAGATTACAGCTGTTTTAAAGGAACTGACTTTGTCGTTTCTTGATCAAAAATAAAATAAAATAAAATTTAAAAGCTTAACTCATTCAGTATCATTCATTACTTTGAGGTGGATTGGTTTTGCTCATTGCCCAGAGTCAGACTTTTTCAAACAAGCTTCCTGACAGATGTCTTTTCTACTAAATTTTGAGACTGAAGATTCAGGTATCAGAGATTAAACTGTATTTAAAAAGCACAGCTAGCACTTTCTAGATGAGAATGATGGTGATTATGTTTCAGTGTGACTTGCGTACCATAGTGAACAGCTATAACTCTTTCTCCACTCTTTGAGAATGATCTCAAAAAACATTCTTAAAATAGCCCCAGATGGATATGTGGGCTTTGTACAGTAGAATTCCCTATTCTTCCTAGTAAGGCTGTTTTGGTAGGAAGAGGAACACTGTCATGATTTTACTAACTACAGCTAGCATAGCTGTAGCATAGCTATACTAACTACAGCTAGCATAGCATAATTCTCTCTCCTACACATGCATATACACACACATCAGTGCACAGATTCACACACACACTTTACCTCTTAGGGTTTTTTCACAGCACACCTGTAAGCATAACACAGTGCTGGCATGAGTAGGATTCCCTGTTACTAGAAGTTGTTTGCAGTGCCAAGCCCTTAGAAGATGCCACCTAATTGATCTGTCCTATTTGCAAAATACATTCAGCTTCCTAGGGCACTCTCTGTACAACCTGCTGAAAAACTTTAACAGGCTCTTAACAGCTGCACCACTTGTTGTTCTGAATAACACTTATGACATTAGGCTGGGTTGCCTTATGTAGTTGGAGGGCAGTTTTCTCTGCTTGAAATCAGAGATTTCTCAGAGGAGGAAAAACAAATAAACAAACAACAAAAAAGTTTAAAGCTTTTGTTTAAAGCTTGAAACATTATTCGCATTTATACTCACAGTTCCATACAGCTTCCCCTTGTTCATTCCAATGAAGAGAGCACTTTCCACACCAAACAGGCTTACAACACCTCTTTCTACAGTAGATATTTCAAAGAGGCCTAAAAAATAAGAAGTTCAATAGAAATGTTATCACAGAATTTATAGCTAATTAAAGACAATTCAGATATGATTGATTTATTTTAAATCCCTAGTGAACATGCCTTATTTTTTATTATTATTATTTCCCTGACTGTGCATAATAAGTACAAATAGAAGTACGCATAAATTATCTGGGTTTTTTTTTTTTGTTTGTTTATTTGTTTGTTTGTTTGTTTTCTCCCACATACTGAAGGATCTTATAATGATTATTCTGGAATCATATTCTAGTCCTATAGAGTCGATTTTGCTCACAGATCTGTCAAATTCTCAAATTCTCCTGGGCTAATATTTAAATTTCTTGTATCTGCTTAGTTTATAATTACAGAGTATGTTATTGATCTCTAGAGAAGTATGGCTTGTATTTGAAGCCCTTTGTGATAGCTACAAGATTTATAGCTACTGCTCTCAGGGACAAATTCAAACCCACAGGACAAATGCTTTTCTTCTAATCTTACAGTTGCAGAACAGCAGCTATAAGAACAAGCAGAGCAGTTGTAACTCTGTATCTCTTCAGTTACAGCGTTTCCCAAGACTAGGATTCCAAAATCATGCGAGCTCAGTGACAGTCTCCTGAATTCAAAAGGCAGATGAGAAGGTGAGTAGTGAGCAAATGCAGTAGAAAGCAAGTTTTCAACCTGGTCTGTCTTCTCTGGTCTGTGCAGTAAAGTACAGCAAAAATAAATTGTATCTAAATTTGTCTAAGCATTTGTAACATGTTTCAACATGGAGGATTCCAATGTCTATTGATCTCAAGAGAATTTTAAAGGGCAACAGATGTAGCACAGATTAGTAATATCAAATAATAATATTTGCATTCTATGAATGGTAATTACAAGAGTTCACAGCAGTTAAGTGACATATATTCTATTTCATTTCTGGATGCAACTCACTGTATTGGTTTTCATTGTGAACTCCATTTATCCTTCCATCTGGGAGGATTTGAAGATGAAACCCGATGCCCACGTTGCAGTAAAGCCTCCGCTGCCTCTTGATTCCTAGCAAATAGTCATTCTCCCAGTTCACATTTGACTTCTCCCCTGACATCTCAGAAATGGATCTGGATAACAGAGATTGCCATCCTCTTTCCAGCAATGTTCCATTAGTTCTGCTTACAACTGGGTGTGTTGAAGCAATCCCAGCTAGAAAACCCAAGAGAATAAAAACAGTCAATGTCCAGTGAATGGTGGCTTCACAAGACATAGTGATGAGAAGTCTTTGTGCAGCGGTCATCTGGTCAACCTCCAGGGCACGTGGTCAGAATTAATGGCACTAAAAATACCGCCCCTCTTATTTTTCTCCCTTCAGCATGGTGGCATAGGCTTATTTTTGGAAAGCAAATGGAGAATGCTGACATGAAACTAAAGCCTAAGAGCCGTCAGGTTGGAAGCAGAGACAGGCCAACAGCACTCAGTTTGGTGGGGACCACGTTTTGGAGATCTTGCACTGCCATGGGTGGCCTCAGTATTGTTCGCTTGACCAATCTTTATAGTGCAGAGGCTGATGCTCCCCACATCATCACTGACATCAACAGAATACCAGAGGTAAGATTGCTATGGTGTAACACTAACCTGCTCTTCTTCTGGGATGGCTGAATTTTGATGAGTGCGGTCATCCAAGACCAGAGGAAGGAATGAGGTTTCACTGGCTGCAAAAAGCAATGGAATCAAATTGTTTGGGCAGGCAGAGGTCTCGCAGGGACTTCCTTATTTAGAGAAGAGGATGTAAAAACAGTAATGGACCTCACCAGTGAGCAATGAAAACTTTTCAATTTCTTGCTTGGCAGCATGATCACTGTACATCAGAGTAGCTCAATATCTGGGGAGAAGTGGCATGATGTGGCTATCTCTGTTTTTATGCATACCCAGAGAATCCAAGGCACCCCTTACTATAGTGGTCCAAGCACTAACAGCTTGTCTGTACCTCTGAAAGGACTGCTCGTGGCCCATTACACAGAGGTAAGCAAAGTGAAAGATAGGACTTGCTCCTGCTGCTTTTATTCAAACATGCTTATGTTTGCAGTGGCAATTCTACTGAGCCAGTTGTGCAGACAGGAGCATTGAATTTGACGTTATAAGCAGAAGGGGGCATTGCTAATGTTGTTAAGTGTTTGTGTTTTTCACTGAGGTGAATTACAAGTGATCACATTTATTTGGGAATGATGAGTGCATTACACAGTGAATCTTGGATCTAATCTTTTGAATACTCATTCAGTTGTGCAATTATGAGGGCTGCTCTGAAAGTAATACTTCCTTTTTTATTATGTTGGCCCATGATGTCAGAAGTGGACAGTGGTGGTATGGCAGCAGAGGTTGAACTTTCCCACCAATATTCCATTACATTTTGTTGCCATGTGACAGATGGTAGGAGAAAGGCAATCTGACAAAATGGCATCTGACATGGAACTGGTTGTCCAGAGATGTGGTGGATGCCCCAGTCTCTGGAGACAATCAAGTTCAGGGTGTCCCAGGCTGTGAGCAACCTGATTTAGCTGTAAATGGCTTTGTTCATTGCAGGGGAGTTGGACTGGATGACCTTTAAAGGTTCCTTCCAACTCAAATGATTTTACAATTCTGTGATTCTGTGATTCTACGGAATCACATATGAAGCATGTAACTGAATTCCTGCTTGCAGAAAAAAAATGCATCTATTGACATTCATTGATGCTTGCTGAACATTTGTGGAGACCAAAGAGTGAATATTAACACAGTGAGGTGGTGTGTGGTGTGTTTCAGCAGTGGCAACAGTGATGTGAATGACAGGCCATGTGCTGGAAAGCCATGCAGATATTGGCAAGCCCAGCATGTAGGTTCTTGTTCACTGTCGGTGAAATGCATAATATATGATGGCGACCATGATGAAAAATAGTGTTTTGTATCAAATAGTGTTACTGTGCTTTCTGTATCTCTTGTAGTCTCCAAGAAAACAAATTGAAATCCTTCCTCTCAGAGCTACCTCAGCACATTTGTAAGACAAAGACTTTCATAATGCTTTAAAGAACTGGAGAGAAGGAAATGGCTTTTCCTCCCTACTGTTTCACAGTCTCTTTTTGTCAAGATCAAGTGCTCCTTTTTTTTTTTTTTTTTTTTTGTAAATTGTGAGCATCTTCATTTCCTCTTCTTGAGACTGTCTAACTTAATTGATTACATTTTGCACTGATGCTGTTTTCAATCTTTGAATTCTATCAGATGTCTCTGTACATTACAGGGGATTTGGACTAGATGAACTTTACAGGTCCCTTCCAACTCAAAAGATTCTATGATCAGTCATCCATCCTAATTGGTTTTATGGGGCTCATTAATACACTAGGTCAATAAAAACTACTGAGTTTTATGCAAATACTTTTGCTAATATATCTGGCATTTTTTCATAGCACAGAATGTGTGTCATTTGAGATGCCCCAGCATTAGTAAAAAGAGTCCCTAGATGTACAATTGAAATGAACACACCAGGTGTGACACTCAGTTTCACTTTGACAGGAGTGTAATATGAGGCACAAATCTAAGCACTGTGAGTGACAGGGAAGAGATGGCAACCTTGAAGGTAAGAAGTCGGAGCCAGTGATGTACGAAATACTGATTATGCTCTTGAGAGGGGATTGTATCAAGCAGAATTTGAGAAACTCTCTGACTTGGTTGAAGCAAGTACTCAAGTTATCTTCTGCCTTTTGTTCACAATGAAAATCTTCATACCACTTTCTCTACCACTTTTTATTTTGTCTCATGATTTTTCAGCTATGCAAAGTTTGTATATAACTTTTAGCAAGAAGTGCCATTGTTTTTTTTCACAGCCTTTCAGCACAGCTACAGAGCCTATGTGGGAGGTGAAAGCAAATGGGAAACAAGTCTCATGGCCACTGTTACAGGGGCAGAATATTGACTTCCAATGTTGTTTTATAGTACAGTCTGAAGATCTGCTCATTCCCAAAGCGTGTGACTCCTATAAAGAAAAAGCTTAATCTCTCAGAGACATTACTGTCTTTAAAATTTGTATTGTAATATTTACTTCCAAGTTTTGCTTGCATTCCCCTAAGAAATGTTTGAAGCATAATTTTGCAGTTTACGCATTATTAGTATCCTACGAGCAGCAGAACATAGTGGACACTAGAGTATGCAGAGCTGGTTTTCATCACAGATTTCCACCACTTTTGTCAGTTTTCTTATAGCAAGGCTAGTACGTAGACTAAAACAGCTTCTCTAAATTGTGCTGACATATCTGCCACCACAGATTCCCACCAAGCCACTCTGTTGGCCCAAATGAAAGGAGCACTTTGTGGGAAGTACCCTCTTATGTCCTGGTACCTTTGATCTTGCCTGAATTTCTCCCTGCAGTAGAACAGAGGAAAAAAGACAAAGACTGATCATGGCATCTGAAGATCCCCTTGTGCTGATAACATCCCGAAATGTTGAAGGCAGGAAGGTGAGAGGGGCTAAAGTTTTGGGTTAAACACAGTTGTTAGACGATACTACAAAAAACTAGGATAAATTCTTCTGAGTCTCTAGGATATATTGCTTTTGCATTTAGTCAGTCCAGTTGGGAAGTGACTACTGAGACCTGTTAGGACCAATCGAGCAGGGGACAGCTTCCTACTTACAATTTCTTGCTAAGCATATGCAGCTGACAGAATACAGTATGGGGAGGATGAAGAAATTACCTGCACTTCTTCCACTTGATCCAGAAATTACACAATAGATAAAAATTGTGATTTCACTGGAATATCTGGCAGTCCTAAGACACAGAGTCTTGATACCTAGCTTAAGACAAAATGATGTGCAATTGAGAACTGAAGTTTGCATCAGAATATTATGTTGTTCAGCAATTCTGAATTGGAACCAAAATGAGTCCATCCCATATATCTGCAGCCAGCAGGTTTCTAAATTCTGGTGTATTAGCAAAGAGATCCGAATAAGAATTTTTGTGTAAGTTCTAGAGCACCTGATTGCACTAGAAAAGCCTTATAAAAAAAAAGATATTTCATTTTGGTTAAGCTTTGTCTTTTTAGTCTGTGAATTAATTATCTCCAGAAAACACACAGGCATCTTTTTGATTTTTCAGATATACATTGTTCTGGCATTGTGAGCCCAGCAAAATTTGGGAGACATCAATAGCATGACAGCAATAGCATTTACAGTAAAATAAATCCTGTGAAGTCCATGCTGGTAGAAATTTACCTCAGCACTCAATCTTTTCTTACTCAAAGTTTCAAGATCCAAGATTGCAGTAGTTGCCACCTAATTAAAGTAACAAGATTTCATTGTCAGTATTTTAGTGCAATATTAAAATAAGCCCCCTTTAGAACACAGCAGCACATATCCACTTTCAGATACTCCAGGAAAAGCCAAGCAGCTGAGCAGTAATGTGATACAGATGCAGAGTGTGTCTTTCAAAAATGCACGATGACCTAGGCTCCTAGGTTCCATTTTCAAATCTCTTAAACATCTCTGCCTATTTTAAGGCCTGGGAAGAGCAGTCCCTCATTCAAAAGCAGAAAGTCATACTAAATCTGTTCTCTTTGCTGTGCTGATTATCCAGACTCATGGTGGAAAAGAGGAGAAGGGGGTAGAAATCTGACTGTTGTGGCAGGGCAAGTATTGCGGGCTTTGAACAACTTCCACAAAATTCTCTTAACCCTGATATAAACATGGGGCCACATCATATCATCTTTAGGAAAATGGGGCTTTCTGCAGTTGAGTTGGCCAGCATGAAGAGATTTGTAACAAAAAAACTTTTACAGACAGAACATCTGAATGCTGTATGAAAGCAGGAGAAAAAATAATACAGCAGGGATTATGAAAATGGTCTATCTGAGTATGCAAGAAGTCGATTAACAGCAGTAAAACCACTAGTGTGTTGTTGCCACTAAGGTCAGAAGGCCCACATTGGATTGGACCACAGTGCAGAAGACTTGAACATTGATCACAGGACAATAACAACAGTTATACTACCCTGCATTTGTTATTCCTCTTCTTGTTAGCCCATAAATGAAACAGATGTGTAAACAGATACTACCAATTAATAAAAAAACAATGGACAGCAACCTTGCCTAAGATAGTTAGAGGCTGATGCGAACAAGTTTCTGAAGAAAAGTATTACCTCACTACCACTGCTGACTCCCTGAGCATATATAAAAGATGTGTTCAAAAACCAGATTATCATCACCACACAAAAAGAAACCAAGATATGTACTAAGGATGTAACAGCTGGCCTCCATCATCTTCCATGTCACAGATACC